ACACACACACACACACATACACACACACACACACACACACACACACACACACACACACACGCACGTACGTACACACATACACGCTCAACCACACTTCATGATCGTGGGTGGTTGGTAGGTACTCTGGTGTAGTTTTCTCCTTCTTTCTTATCAAACCTCTATCGTCGTCATCTCTCCGTTTTGGGGTTTGTTACTCTCTAGGCTCTAATAACACCTCTTGTATTCTACATTCAAACGACCTAGTTAAGTTGCAAGTGCTGTATAACTCTTAACTAAAAAACAGTTCATGATCGAGACCGTGCGAGAGGCAATGGACCCCGTGTTTGTTTCCCCGACTCCTTCTCCGAATGCAAGGATGACGCTGTACGCATGGGCCGAGCTACACCTCACGTTCTACGCAAAGCCCCACGACTCAAAGATCCAGTAAGTCATTCACAATAATTGTGTCTGATTACTTAAATAAGTATTCTGTTGACTGTGTGCCATCTCCTCTCCCCTCCTCCCAATATTATATTTCGTTTTTCGTATTTCAGACATTTAACACACATACTATGGAGGGTGGATAAGTGAGCTAATGCATAGACAGAATCAGATAGATAGGTAGATGGACAGCTAGATACATAAATAGATTGATAGATAGATAGATACACAGATAGGTAGATAGCGTAAATGGTTGAGAGAAACACATTCTAACGATAGATAGATAGATAGATAGATAGATAGATAGATAGATAGATAGATAGCGTAAATGGATGAGAGAAATACATAGATAGAAATGGTCGCTTTTAAGCACAAGGGAGCTATCCCGAAAAAGCTGTTTTGAGAAAATCGAAGGTAAAGTTTTTAACCCCTTGTTCAGTTTCTTTAAAAGACAAGGAGAGTTAAGAGCAAACAAATATTTTTAAGACACTCTTGGAGAATGACTGAAAATGAAAGCCTCAGATTTCCAGCTTTGCCTGGTTGTTATTTTGACCACTAGGCAAACCATTTGACTATCACTCAGTGCTATTTGCATTGTCACAGTTATGGTTTGAATGCGGTGTTGATTTAACTGTGATGAGCGAAAGTGAAGAGAAGCGAAAGTTACAAACCTGTAACCTGTCATTAGATATTCACTTTATAGTTAAGTTTGAATATGGCTGAAAATCCTTGTGAAAAAACTTTTACAAGAAGGCTTTTTGAAAAGTATGAAATTACCTATTACCCAAGACAAAATATCAGGAAATTATACGTCAGTTGTAGGCGACTTTGGTTGTAGCCAGAAAAACAGCTCGACAGTACAAGTTTCAAGCCAGGTCAGTTTTAGCTATTGTTTTTTTTACTGTTTTTCTCTGTCTATCTGTCTGTCTGTCTGTCTGTCTGTCTGTCTGTCTGTCTGTCTGTCTGTCTGTCTGTCTGTCTGTCTGTCATTCAATGCCGCCGTCAAACGATCGCCTTACCAAGCGCTGCTGGGTATTGAACCAAGGGTGGGCCTCAACATCTATACCAACGGAAATGCTGGGCCAGTTTCAGTCAGGGGATGATTTGCGAGCCTTTGCCCAGCAAACAGCTCTAGCAGCTCGTTCTCATGTCGACGAAATCCCCAACGTTTCCGCTCCTCATGTCGACGAAATCCCCAACGTTTCCGCTCCTCATGTCGACGAAATCACTGGCGTTGTCCAAGTCACATAATTTGCTGCTGCTAACGGGCAAGCCACAAACCTGAATTATCCTCATGTCGACCAAGTTGATGGCATTGACACTGTTGAAAAAGTGGCACTTCTTGATGCTAGACAGGCTCAAATACACTTTCATAGAGAGCAGAGTAGGAAATTCCAGATGGAACAAGCAGAACGGATGGTAAAAAGAAGTAGAATAGAACTCGCCCCAGGCCAGAAAGGTGACAAAGTTGCCATTCCTATTCCTATTGTTGATCGGGGCCGTGGCGACCCACGAAACATTCTGACTGTTGTTTTGGACAAAAATGACAACAATAACTACACGCTGTCTATCAAACATGGAATCTTAAAAGGGGCAAACAGCAGGAACGAATTTGAACTTTGCCCTGAAAAATTACTTCTGATGAGTGATGTCAACTGCACCACACATATCAGTTTAAGAGAAGCGGTTGTATTTGGCTCTCAGTGTGGCGATCAAGGTTACATTAAATGTAACTGTTCAGGTTCAAAGAAATGTCAAACAAACAGATGCAAATGCTTCAAAGCAAAGCTCAAATATGTAATAATTGTTGCCACCAAAGTCTCAACCGCAAAAACAAATGATCTCATGTAAATGAACATTCTATATTTAATTATCACTTTTCATTATTAAGTTTGTTTTCATTAAACGGGATGAATTAATTATTGCATGCATCCCCAGTCATTTACTTTACATCTGTCATTCCGCCATTTTGTCTTTTTTCCGATGGTAGTCATTCCTAGGAAATGCCTGACTGCCTATTTCAGTCATTCTCTGAAAATGAGAAATATTTTTAGGCATTCCTGGAAATGCCTGATCAAAACAGGAATTATTTGGGAATGACTGAATTTTCAGGCATTTCCTGAGAATGATTAGTTTCCGGGGTTGACTGTAACATAATTATACACACCAATGAAACCAAACTTCTCCTATAGGTAGGGCAATGCTCACTTTTAGTGTAGGTCAAGATTTCTGAAAACCTCCGAAATCTGGGTTAGCCCGCTTGTCCTTAAAAGCGACCATATGTGTGCTCACTTGTGTTTTGTTGAACTTCACCATTACTTTAAAATGTGTCTCGACTGTTAATTCACAGGCAGATCCAGTCCATGTACGTATCTTGCATCCCACAGTGCAACGCTAGCATCAGCTCATTAACAGACGTACAGGGCAACGTCACAGATGGGGTCAAAAGTGCAAAGGTCACCTGGATGCCAACATCGGGCGAGACTGGTCTGTACGAGCTCGTCACTGTGGCCAGGGATTCTGATGGGTGTGTCTCTGTGTGTGTGTAACACTTTTATGTTTCAGCTTTTCTAAAACGATTTTGTAAAAGTTAAGTTTAACCCCCTCACCTCTTTCTTTCTCCCCCCCTCTGTCTGTCTGTCTGTCTGTCTGTCTGTCTGTCTGTCTGTCTGTCTGTCTGTCTGTCTGTCTGTCTGTCTC